GAAGGTACCAAGCACATTGTGGGTGGTACTAGAAATAAATTAATAATGATGTCAGGAAGCTTATTTTAATCATAGGTATGAGCCAACCCCCCTATCCCTCCTACCACCTTATATTCTTAAAAATAGTGGACTGATTAAAGATAAAAGATCATTTTTACACAGAAGAGCGAAGGTAAATTCAGAGATTAGACATCTTTCTTTTTAGTTACAACTGCCTGAGTAAGTACAGAGTCATGCAAATTAGGAGGAGGTGAAACAATACAGAGTTGTTTCAAAGTCTGACAGTGCCTGTCATCTTAGAAATTGCCAAAACCAGAAGGGGGAATTAATTGAGCTATTTAATATGAGGGCCCCTTTCAAGTCTATTAAACAGGATTCCTTAATTCCTTATAGCCTTTATAATATTCATAGGTTGGTATTATCAATGGTATCTTAAGCTCTAGTGACCTGTGCCAAAGGTTCCCGCTCTCTAATGGCTACAGTATCAGAATTAGCAGGGTGAGCACCACTGTTAAAATATCATTAGGTTTGGAGACTCTAGGAGCACACAAGGAGCGATAGAAATGACCACAACAATATTCAAAAGTTATCAGTCTTTATTAACAATTTCATTAAGCAGATGAATAAAGCCACAACTAGAATCATAGAAGATCAGGGTTGGAAGGGACCTCAGGAGGTCATCTAGTCCAACCCCCCTGCTCAAAGCAGGACCAATCCCCAGACAGGTTTTTGCCCCAGATCCCTAAATGGCCCCCTCAAGGATTGAACTCACAACCCTGATGGATTCTTCCTTCCTTATTCATGCTGGGGGGAATTCCTTTTATTCTATGATACACTCACGCTCATAACCCTTATGCTTATGCATTAGGGTTCAACCTCTTTTTCCTTATTGAAATTTCCACACCTCATAAATGTTGGGGTGCCCTGCTTTTCATAGGCTATCCTCTTAGCTCCCCTTATCTTCAGTAACATTTACATCAACAAGTCCCCATGTTAACTTGTGGTCATTGCAGAATTTCCCATGATGTTACAACTGGGTACCTTCTGGTAGTGACAGGCACAGTGTGGCATATTTTCCTGAACATAACCCATTAACACATCTTTTACAATAATCTTGCAATTTTACTAGCTGACCCAGGGTTAACCCTGGACTAGTCATGTCAACTTTTTCAGACTTAAGGCTTGATATGGCTAAGCTTAAATTGGACAGGCCTCAGGCCTGTGGGCCTTGATTTACAGTATCATCTTAGGCCTGATCTACACTACAGCATTAGGTCCACATTAGGCAACTTATGTCGACCTAATTATGTCTGTGTACATGCTACAGCCTTGCTCCCACCGATGTAAGTGCCCTAATACACCGACCTCCTAACTTCATGAGAGGTGTAGGGCTTATGTCAGTATAGTTAGGGCGATGCAGTGTCCCTGTAGACACTGCATGACTTACATCTATTGGCTGTCATTCTTGTCAATAGAGCTGTGAAATTGACAAAGCTGGCTCCCAGCTCCTCAGCTGGGCTGCTGCCTGGTCTCCGCCCCAACCCAGGCTGCCACCCACATGCCCACTCAAGCTTCCCCCAGGGTCCCCACTCCCAGCCAGGCTGCCACCTGGACTCTCAGCTTCCTGCTGGGATCATGGCTTTCCCCCGCAGGCTCTTAGCTCCCCACTGGGAGCAAGGCTGTGCCTGGCAGGGAGCTCTGCGCCAGGAGTCCAGTTGGGGAGCGAGGAGCCGAGAGCCTGAGTGGGCAGCCAGACTCCCGGCAGGGAGATCCGCACCTGGTGGCCAGTTGGTTTCCCCGTTCCAAGAGGGGAGCCAAGAAGCCCAGTGTGGCTGCCCCCTTCCCAGTGGGGAGCCAGGCTACTGGTAGGGAGTTGTGCGAAGAGCTGAGAGCCCTGGCTCTTGGATCCCCCCCACTCCCCTCTTAAGTTGGTGGAAGCGCTCCTGGTGAGGAAGTGCACTACTGACAAAAGAAGGGCAGTGTGGACATGAACCACCACAGTAATTACATAGGTTAACTTAATTTTATGGTGTAGACATGCTCTCACTTGTATACCTAATGCACTCTTAACAATAATATATGCTTATCAATTCTATACTCCTATAATACTATCCTAGGTGGTCCCACACTTATACCTACAACTTAAATCTATTCATCACCCATTGATTACATATAGAATAACCACAACAATAGATAACTCAATTCAATTATTATATAAGATGATTAGCTACGGCCTGAATTTTCTCTAGGATGTATGAGACCTCCCTAACTGTTGCTAAATAAATAAACTGATACATCACTGTTGGATGTAGTGTTGTGGTTAGATTAGAGAAAATGTGGTTAGATTAGCTAAACTGAGTGGGTTAGTTTTTGTACTGAGATATTGAAGTGCATTTACAATTGCAGTCCAGCAAATAGTGGAATTTCTGTTTAGAAACTTTATTTGAACTGGAAGCAAATTTAATTTGAATGTCTAACTTTTTTCTGTTAACTTCCACAAACATTCTAGTATTTTGTGTTTTTCTAGGACAGATACTTGCAACAAGGACATTTTTACCTTGAATGTTTTAGTATTTGCTGAATGTTCATTTTGATTATATTAAGTTGCAAAATTTGGATTTGCATTTCATGCTAATTTCAATTTAAGAATTTTATAAAACTGACTAGATAATTCCCTCTGTGTTGGATAGTTACATAAGTCATCCAGTCAGGGAACATTATACCATATGACTTACATAACTAGTAGAGCCGGTCTGAAAACTGTCGTAATAAATACTGCCAGTGAAAAATAAGACATTTTTTGGTGCAAAATATTGGTGGAAAATGTCCTACTTTCTTCTACCTTTAGTAACTAAAGGTATACAATGCAAATTGAGTATCCAATGCTAGAATTCACAATTCACAGTTGGAACTGTTTGCAGGTTAATTGTTTTCTGGGGAAAATCATGAGTCATTCTGAGGGTGAAAAAAATAGGAAAGTTTTTTGTTTAATATATTATTTCCCCTGTTCTGATTATGGTTCACTCTGTTTATGTGGTGCAGCATATTCAGTTCCTCCAGGTCTCTTGTGCCAGATTTGAGAAATGAGTTTACATTTAAAACATCTCCAAATAACTGAGGATTTATTGTGTAATAGAGACACTGTCCAGTTTACCATTGCAGAATGGCTGTTTCTGTGTTGGGTCACTGAAAGCTGTTGCCTCAAACTATGCCCCTTTCTAAAAGACTTTTGAGGAATAAATAACACAATTTGAGTAAGATTAGAAGCAGTAGGGACAGAAAAATATTGTTTCTCTGAAAACAGCAATGCAGTAGCTCAAAGAAAGGGAATTTGAAGGTTGCTATGAGTGTGCTGCAGCTGAAAAACTAGAACATAAGGAATCCCATCTGCCCTGTGCGAGAGTGCCATTGAAACAATGATAGTAGATAAGGGAAGCAGTCCACATGCATTTCACGGTTCAGAAGATATATTGCCATCACTTTAAAAGTGTGGCAGACCCTGAGAACCCTGCATCACAAGAGCTGCAAACTTCTACTACCTCACTTATGGCCTGTGGCCACCATTTTAAGGTTAACTCCTCAGCTGAAGCAAGTCCCTGTGGCAATTTCAGGTCTATGTTCAGTGGCAAAGATGTATTTCATCTTCACCTATGATGAAATGTGTGTCTGCCATTGAAAATGGTAAAGCCTCCTACAGATTTTGAATGATGAATCTGTCCCTTCTGAGATAGCTGGGATTTCTTAGTGTGCTCGCAGAATCCTGTGCTCATCCCCTTAGGTCCCAAAATGTTAAATGTGACAGCATTGTGTGGATTGCAAGGTGTGCAATGTGAGTTCAGTTCAAGTTATCGGTGTAGCCTTGTCCCTTATCTTCGTGATCATTTTTCAAGAATTGGAACATGTTTGTGTTTCAAGTGAGAACGTGAAATGCTGTAGTGGAGTTATTAGGCAGAAACAGGGCAGACCTGGTAGCTTCTTTGCAACCTGTTCAATGTGCATCTGCACCTGGTACATCTTTCAGTTATAGCCATTGAACTTTACTGAGCAAAACAAGCTGTTGTTAGTATTACTGTTGCCCAGGCACTGCACTGGCAGGTATGGACAAGCGACTTGGATTCTATTCTGCCTCATGCACCAACAAAATGATCAATTCAGCTGGCTCTGATTGGAGAATCTCTGTATGTCACTTAGGAACTGTTCCAAGCTCTAACACAAACTTGTTCATTTTGGGGCAGATCACTGAGGCTCACATTTTCAAAAGTGGCCTCTAATTTTTGTTGTTATCCTACAGCCCCTCCCTTTCTTTTTTAAAAATGTTCTGATTTCGGGGGTGGTGAAAACCCTTACTACAATCACAATTAGCACCTGCAACCCCCGCTGCTTCCAACTAAAAATCAGACTGTAGGTTTCTAAAAATGGGTGTCCAAAAATTAAGGAAACCTAAATAAGACTGCTTTTGAAAATATGGCCCTTAACCTCCCAGGGTCCGTGTCCCCATCTGAAAATGGGGATACTAGTACTTACCAATCTTGCCTGATAGTTGAGCCTGATTTAATGAGCTTAGACATACGTGGATGGAAGATGTTTCAGCAATGCAAAGTATTCTTCAGCTGCTCCCAGATTGCCTCCACCCACTGCAAAACCGATGGGAGGGTGAGGAAAACTCCATGAAGATTTCCTAATGGAGCTTCTTCTGCATTGTTCAGTTGGGCGTGGGTGGTGGAGGCTGGGTTCCTTCCTCCTCCACAGACTACACCACAGGACCTGTCCCTAAATCCAACAGATGTTTGGGGCTCCATGCAGAGGCTCTGAGCCTCTCTAACAATTCTGTGCTGCTTGTGGCTTTGGCCCCTGTCCCAGGCAGCACAGCTCTGATAGATCCTCATTGTCAGGGACTCCTCTGTCCCTGGCTGTCCTAGTGACACCTCAAGGCGGGTTCAGCAGGAATGATGTGTGTGTCCCCCTCTTCCTTGCACTCAAAGTCCTTGTCTCTTTCCCAGGGCCCATCCCTAGACCGCCGGAGTCCAGTGGAGATGAATGAGCCTCCTCATGATGGGTCCCCTCAATGCACATTTTGGGGGAAGGAGGTGAGTACTGCAGGATGGTCATGATGCCAGAGGCAGAAAGAGCACTGGTAATTTTGGAGACGCAGATGTAGTTTGTAATGCTGGCAATTAAAAAAGTTAATCTTTGATTTGTTTCAGTACTCAGCAAAATTTATGCTGATCCTCAGGTGTTAAGAGATTCCCTCTCCTCCGTTGACCATTCCAGACTGCATCATGTAGCTCTGTTTAAGGGCTTAAAAATTACAAAGAGTAAAGTAATGTTAGTAAAGTAACATTTTTGTAATATGAACTGATTTCTCTTAGGAATTTTAGGATCCCCTTCCAGAAAGATCCGAGTAACTCCCATTGAAGTTGGTGTAGAATCAGGATGCTGAAGTTCCCAGGGGTACTGCTTGGAGCCAGCACTGCTTTCTCTGTTAAATGCAGTGACTCCTGGTTTTAAGTTTTACCTTTTATGTGACAAAATTCAAATAATTTGTAGAGCTTCAGACAGGGATTTAATTTCAAATGATTTTCTCTGTTGGCTGTAATGCTGTATTGATTCTGCAGCAAAGTGCAACTGTTGTTTAGCTGCCTCTGCTTGGCCAGCACAGATTTACAGTCTCTCCTACTTCTTCTCCCTCTTGTCCTCCCTAGTAGGCACACTTGGAAATCTTGGGTGATGGTGGAATAATGCTCCCTTTTAGGTCACCAATTCAAATCCAGCCCCAAAGTTCTGGGCTGTTCTGGTAATCTGTATATAGAGGATCTTGTGTTCACATCACAAAAATGACCATCCTTTTTTGGCAATGTCAGATATGCAGGACAAGATGGAGGCAGCCGGTAGTGCATTGTTGGGAAATTTGCAATGCCATTTCCTTTGCTATACCTGTAGATGGTTGGTCACCCAAATTCTTTGCTAGTGTAACCCCATTGATTTATATGGAATTACACCATGGAGAATTTGGCCTTCAGCCCTCCCCATGTCAGTCTGACACCTCTCACCAGCAGTAAATTCAAATGATTTTTTAAAAAGTAATGGAATAGCTTTTTTTGATACTAGTTAGGCCACCAATCATTTCTGAATGAAAGGGATTGAGTTTAGGTGGCTAGAATAGTCTGAACAGCTTTGGCTTTCTGTGTGGTGCCATGGAATGCATCCGTTAAAAGCATCAGCAACAACAACACCCACACCACACAACAAACAACCCGAAGGACTTTCCATTTCTAAAAGAAAGTCCACATGTAAAAGACCAAAACAAACCTAAAACCAGCCTGGCCTTTATCCTGGTGCTGCGGATGTTGTATTTGATCACCCTCTTACCCATTTTGTTGAAAGAAAAATGTGCTACTTTGCTTTTCCCTTTAAATTCGGATCTTTTGTTGACCAATCTTTTATTTTTATAGCAGCTCTCCATGACTTTATTGCCTGGAAAAACACAGCAATAGCACAGAGATTGTGGAATATTTCAAGAGTAGCTTAATACCAGCTGACCCTCTTACATACAGTATGAAGTTTACTTATATATAGTGTATCTTTCTATCTCATAAGATTACACCAGATACAATAACCACATTTTACAGGGGACTGTGAGAGCAGTTTTCTAAAAGCCAATGCTTAGTTATTACCAATGATCATTATTCATGTCCTGTAGAACTCTATACATGAGGTCACTGGAGTTTCACCACTGCTAAGAGATCAGAACCAGGTCCTTCACAATTTGGAGTAGCTCCTCAAGGATATCTTACGTTTTAAGATGCATGTACTGTAACAGGGTCATGTGGGCTATTAGAGCAAAGAACTGGGGAAAACAGGATCCTGGTACTGTGACTGGGACAAGTCACTTGTCTTCCTTGTGTGCTTTATGTAGCCCATTAAAGTTTGTGCAGCCCATAGAAAGTGGAGCTGGCCAAACCCTACAGGATTAGACCAATGAGTCAGTGAGATTACTTGTGTGTAGGGCTGCACATTTGTCACAGCATTTTTTTGGGGGGGGGAGGGATTGCTCAAAAGTCACTAAGTAGTCACAGTAAATTTAATAAGTCACCAGTTTAGGGGCCAATGGTGTGTAAAGTCATGGGAATGCTATTTATAATGGGGGGGGGGAAGGTTCTGGGGGAGTTGGGTCCTGCCCTTGAAGGGTTGGAGGCCTGGGAGCTGGGGAGGGTAGCTGGAGAGCCTGCCCTGAACTCACCCCGCAGGCATGGCAGCAGCTCCTGTCCCATGGGGCTGGGACTGGCACCAGGTTGCAATGCTACTCACTCAAAGCATCCCCTTCCCTCCCCGTCATGACGCAGCGGCAGCCAGGCCAAATCTGAGCAGCACTGTGACCTCATGCGCCAGGTTGCAAATCCCTGGAGCATGTAGCTGGGCCCAGAGCTGCAGGGAGAGTAGCTGCAGGAACGGTCACTGTGGGGTGAGTTTATTAAAATCATGAACTCAAAAGGAAAGTCATGGACACAGAAAAAATCACAAATCCATGACAATTTTACCATTATGCAGCTCTACGCATATGAGCAGGGGCACCTGCAAGGGTTCCAGAGTAGGGCGGGGCTCTTTTAGGGATAGAGGGAAACTAACTGTTTTGAGCGTGCTCACAGTCAGCTAATCATTCCACACTAAGAGGAGAAAGGAGCTTTGAGCCTCATGCTGCAGGCTCCATTGAGCATGTAAGGAAGGGTCCACAGGTCCCCTTGTAGTTGGTGTTTTCAAGGGGTCTTCCTAGGGGCCTATGCTGAATGAGGTGGCCAAATTACAGGGTTTTTCTCCAGGCCTGTACTACCCATGAAGCTGATGGTGCACCATTGGAGAGTGGGCTTCACTGGGGCTCCCCTCCTTCATAAGTGATGGTACCCTAGTTTGGGGGAGGTTTGCCATCTTACATATATGGAAAGCCCCAATTGTGTGGGTCTGTGGGGAGTTGCTAATGTGCTGGCACCAGCTCTGCTGATGGATTGGGTCCACAATTCTGCTGATGGAGTAAATTGATACTATGCTAGGTCTTAGATAGGAAAAAAAAAAGATGAAATGCAGGACCTCTCTGGAAAACATCTCCTGTATGAGCTAAGTTCTGCTGGGAAAAGCACCAAAACATACATTTCACCCTTGCTGGCAAAGTAACTGCTTTCCAAGTCAGTTTTGCAAAGTAGACTCTAGTATCCTTACAGCTACAAATGAGCAGAACATTAAACGTGATGTAATCCCTTGTATCATCTTATCGTATCTTAATTGTCAATAAGATTATATTGAACAGAAAACAGTTTGCATGTCTGATTGTCTGAGTGGGTATTAGTTATTTTGGTTTCTCTGGCACATATTCAGGGCCCTAGATACCTCAAAACACTAAACAATGTATAGGAAAAATATATATTAAAAAATCAGTGCATTACTTGGATTTTTCAAATAGTCTATTGCAAACTTCCTGGAAATAGATTCTTCCACAAATATAAAGAAATAGGTTGTCTGTACCCCTCCATACCATAACCCCCCCTCTTAAATACTCCTTCATTCTCCAGCACCTCCATCTATAAACCCACAATCTTCAGCATGCAGAGAAGTTAACAGACCTTGGCTCTGTTGGGCCTAGAGTTGATGCAGGTTTCCAGAGTTGAATACCTGTTACAAGAAAGCATCCTGCCAGCAACTACCTTTCATTTAAATCAAGTGTTCAAACAACTCCACTGATTCCAACTTCGATATGTCACAAAGAGGCAGATCCTTAGGTAACAAGCTCTCAAACCTCTTAGTGCTTTGTAGGTATTGTTATGTATGTAGGTAATGTGTATAAAGTCTACCACTGCTCATCCCGTAAGGTTTATTTTTCTGTGCCTGTCTTTGAGGGTGTAACATTCCAGGGCAGGGACTGTCTTGATATATGTCTTGTATTGGGCCAAATGAAAAACTAGAGATGGACATCAAGACACAATTTTTTTCTGAACTTCACCAGAGTTCTGATAACTGTCTATCCATGGATGATAGTTGTGTTTATTTTTCTTGTATAAATGTCATTACTATATATTTCCTACTGTTACACTGGGCATCTGTTACAGGAAATATTGTTTTTTGTGTGTGTTCATGTCTACTGGAAAAATATTCAGCTGTGGTTTAGAAATGATATCGTGTGCAGTCCCAGTTGTGAATAATTGTCCCAAGGTCATTGTGGAGGTACTTGTTAGAAAAACAGAGCATTTGGCTGCACTTTATAAGAAGTAAGAGGAGTTGTTCTCCTAAATAGTTTCACTCATAAATATGATTCCCTTTCTTAATAACCCATGGGCCTCTGTGGAGAGGAATGACAGCAGCGTGATTGCTTTGCAAGAATGTTACTAGGGTGAAGGATATGGCTTAGTATAATGACGCAGTCAAATATCCTTCATGTAACCCAGCAAGAGCAGACCCAATCTTCTGATTTTTCTCATTGTAGAATCTTCACACTCTGTGTGTAACAAGTGAGAGGAGAGGCTTGCATCTGAAGAAGTGAGGTTCTTACCCACGAAAGCTTATGCTCCCAATACTTCTGTTTGTCTTAAAGGTGCCACAGGACCCTCTGTTGCTTTTTACAGATTCAGACTAATACGGCTACCCCTCTGATAAGTGAGAGGAGGGAAAGATAACCTCATTTTCTCTCACAACCCGTCTGACTTGGGTTTGGTTTGCATAAGTATTAGTCTCCAATGTCAGAAATTTTAATCAAAGGTAGGGACCGATTTAAGGGATTATGAGATGATCTGCAGGTGTGTGCAAAACTCCAGTTACTATTGGTCAAGCTATAGAAAACACACTAAAAGCTGGGGAGAAGGTGTGAAATCCTGGCTCTATTGAAATCAATAGAACTTTCATTGATTTCAGTGGAGCCAGGATTTCATCCACTGTGTATAAATATGGTTTTGGGAATCGTGGAGTGAGGGAAAGGGGCAAATTAGCTCCAATTGTGTATTGTTCAAATAGCTACGATGACCATTTTGAAATGAGGTTTAATTTTTTATAGCTGTTATACATTTCTATAGCTCACCTTCTATTCTGTTTAGCTTATTTGAGTTGTT